GGAAGCCAGACAAGATGTTTAAAGTGAAAGAAACAAAGTTAACTAGTGACTCCTGTGATGTTTCTATGTTTGTAAGGCTAGGGCCACGGTGTTTTTATTGTGCATGCTGTAGCTGTGTCAGAGGCTGAAATTTCCTGTCCTGTCTTCGTTCAGTCCTGCTTGGATTTCACTAGGAGCACCTTCATTGCTGGGAACTTAGATGCCATTCTTTCATTCAGAATCTTGTTATTGTATAGGAATATGCAAAAATTTTGGCAGGTAAGGTACTGTATTATCTTATAATTAAGGTTTAGTTATTCAGTGAGCCTATGTATTTGGGATATGACTTTCATAAGTGTTTCTCAGCCCTGCCCCCTTACAGAAGTGACAGCATGTCTATCCTGAGCTGGAGTTGGGTATTCCCCCTCCTCTGTGTGAAAATGAAGAGGGTGTTGGGTATTTCCCTTTTCCCATGTCTAACTTAAAGTAAAGTTAACTTGGGTTTGGTAAGCCCTTTCTTCCAATTGGTCAGGCCTTGGTAAAACCCCACATGCTGCTTAGGCTCTGATAAAGTAACTGTCCCTAGGCTAGTCCTTTTAAGGTGATGAGAGGCTCTGGCAGCACCTTTATTTTCTTCACCTTGCAAGACGCACAAGGGGGTTTTTCTCTAGTCTTCAACTAGAGAGCCTGGTGTGTTTTCTGAAAAGAAGGCTCGGGGAAGAGTAGGGGTCCTACAAAGCACAGCCCATCAGGGTGAGTCTCCAGCTCACATTTAAAATCCAGCAACGAATCACCACCCCGTTAACATTCTTACCAGCGTCTGGGCTCCAGCAGAGGTTCTGTTTGCAGGGACTCCTTATCTTCCATGCTTTAGTTTGGGGTGCCCTATTTCCCTATGACTTGTGTGTTTGGCCACATACAAAACAATTTTTGTTCAGTGTTCGTGTTTTTGTTTTCTGAAAAATAAAGTTTTGGGCATAAGAGAGTTCACTTTACCAATAGTTTTAGACTCTTATCTTCCATCTCTATTACTCTATTATTTTATAGAAATTTGACAAATACTCATTTCATAGAGTAGACCATTGACTGAGAGAAATTGCAACTTTAAGGAATTTGTCTTGAATGAAGTCTACATGTTTTGACAGTAAAACTATTTTTTACCCAATGAAAGTTTTAAATGGAAGTATGCTTAACTTAATCACCACTTTTAGTGTTCACTCAAAGGACACTGGGATGGCAATTTGCTTTTCTCTCATTTGATTCTTTATCTCCTGTGATGGAGAAATCATTCTAGACTGGGATATATCGATGGGCCAGACAGTGAATTACTTCTGATCTTGGGGAATACGCTCTACTTTGAGGTAATAAATAATAAAACATGGTCACAACGAAAATGTAAGTTCTGTGAAATGGTTGAAAATAAAGGAAGGCATGGAAAGCGCAGAAACTGAGAAGGACACAGGGCAGGCAAGCGTTAACATTTTAAGCAGGACATTCAGAGTAGGTCATGTTGAGGAGGCAAAGCATGAGCAGACTTTAAGAGGAAAGAGGCTCTGCCATGAACATAACTAGCCAGAGGAACTACAGGCATATGAGACAGGGTGTGCAAAGAAAAAGGTTCGACAAGAGCTCAGAGATGTCAATGAGTTAGAGTGAGGGCAATGTAGCAGATGAGACCGAAGTAATACCAAGGACCAGGTAAGGACTTGGCTTTACTTAAATACCATGATTCTATGGACAGATGACAGATATAACTGATTCAGCACTCAAAAGGAATATCTAGCTGCTCTTTTGTGATCTGGCATTATGGAGACTCATTGGCAAGACATGCAACAAACCAGGTAAGAAATAATGTGTCACAGAAAAGAATTGTCTCAGGGATGGTGGTCCTCAGGTAGTAGAAAAAGAGGAAATTTTAAGGTGTTTCTGGGATTGATAGGATGAAGAAAGATAAAGAAGCTGGAGAAAGCATTGGATAATGTTTGCTTTGTGGGGAAAGGTAGATTTTATCTCAAGGATGTTCATTGTGAGGCACATACAAATAGAGGTCTTAAATAGATACATGGAATTGAGGAGCATTTTTTGGCTAGAACTGTAGCAGATAGATGCCATTTAAAGGTATGAGCTGCAATGTGAAGGTTATAGATAGAGAACTTTTGGTGAAAGGTGTAGATAGAGAATGACAGCCACAACACTTGGAAAGGCATGCGTATGTGAGCAGTGGGTGGTGTGGAAAGAAAAGAAACAAGAAAAAATGAGAAGAATCATGCAAAAAAAGAGGGAAATAGATCAAAGGAAAAGGAATCAAACCTGCTTTGTCAAATACTGTTGGTATATTATGTAAAATGATACAGACTGGCATCACTACATAAGAGTTAGAAATGGAAGGACCAAATCAAAGCAGCTTTTAAATGTACTTACAGGTTAGGGCTTCTTGCAACTCTCATCAGAGAAACTTCATTTTTCAGTAGATGGAGCCTAACACAGAGACAAGTAACTGGCCATAGAGTAGAGGAAAAGTGACTGCGGAGTACTCAGCCCTAAATAAGGACACCCCTCCCTCCCAAAGCTGAAGAGGGTGCAGAAAGACTGTAAGATCCAGAGGCAGTGGGTGGCTACAAGGAAACGTGCTTTCTGCACACAGTAGGGCAGCTGACATATGAACTCTTGATAGTATGCATATGGCCCGTGCAAACTCAAGCCAGCCCAAATCACAAAACAGAGTTGAAAAATGAGCATGGAGTCTCATTCCTGGCTGAGGAGCTATTGTAATTGATAGCTGCTGGAAAAGAGAAATTCAGTTTTCTTTAAGAGTTTTGGCTTCTTATAGCTCTAATGTACTCTACTGGGTGGCCATATACCCTAGTATATACAGGCACTTCCTAATTTGACTTGATGGGTTTTAAAGGAATTATATGAGGACACAAAATTGGGTACTGGAATAGGGGATGAATATGGGAATAGATGGGTGGCTGAACATGATCAAAATGTGATGTATGAAAATCATGATGTACTAAAGAGCATTTAAAAAGGAAGTAGAAGTACGGAAGGTAGGCCAGTGATTGGACACAGAAAAATTTGAATAGGGGTTAAGCAGCTTGGCCTCAGATTACCTCAGGGGCCATCGAAATCTACAAAAGTAAGAAAGCTACTCTTTGCCCACTGCACCCACTATGAAGCAACATAGGTAAGGGCCTGGCTTGCATTATAGCCCTGATGTTCTGATGATGTTCTGAATCAGAAACCCCTCAAAATCCCAAATGACATCTAGTATACCAATCTCTAGTTGTTCCAATATTTAAAGAACAGTATAAAATTAGGATGACCATCTATAACTTGTTCTAAAATTCTGAAAACTGGCCATTTTTATCCTATTAACAAGACTTTAGTTTCTAAAACTTCCTGGGTTTAAGAAGTCCCGTGACACACATTCTTAAGTTGGGGAATAAACTTTATAGATGAACTGAAAAATGAGAGAACTTGGGGTTCCTTTTTTCTTAGAGCTCTTCTCTTTTTTATTTCTTATTTTAAATGAGCCTATAAATTTTACAGCACTTCCTTGTAGAGGTCACCACTGATTCGACTTTATTTTTCTTCTAAATAAAACAGTATTTTTTCATGCTGTGTCATTATAAATACCATTATAAAGTATGTATGTGATATGGCATACATAATATAGGTTGCCTTTTCACATGCTGAATAAAATGATTAATGATATTTCAAAATAACATGTAATATTGTATAGGAAAAATATTTCTAAGTTTCATGTCTTTAATTTTCAAGAACATGAGTGAAGTGTCTGATGTGGTGTCACATGCCTGTAATCTCAGCACTTGGGTGGAAGAGACAAGAAAATTGCTGCATACTGAGGCCTGATTGGGATATACAGTGAGTTCCAGGTCATGAGTCTTGGCTACATAGTTAGGCCCTGTCTCTAACAAACAAACAAAAACAAACATCAATAAGAAGTCCCACAACACACAGCTCAACCCAATCCCACCTAACCTACTTCCCACCCACAAAAAACAACAAACAAACAATGACACTGACTTACAGTAACTAGTGATAGGGGAAACAATATGAATTTATGAAAATACTTATAAAATTTGTGTTTAGAAAGATGTCAAGATATATTCTGTTTTAAAATTATTTTTAATTCAAGAATATTTGTAATAGCATTTTGAAATTACTGCATGGGGAACAATTAAATACTATGAACACAATGTTTTAAGTGACTCCCACATCTCAAAGAGTTCTTAGAATACCAACTCACTTGTTCTCAGTGACATAGTTGTATATGCCCACCATTTTACCACATGTATTCTTTGACTGTGACCCACCTACGATGCATTTCTGTTCAGGTAAAATATAGCACTAGTAGAAAATGCTAATTTTAAAAATGTCTGTCTTTTATTCCTTGCTTAAATCATATTACTTTTGTGGGGTTTTGTTGTTGTGGAAGTGGTGGGTTTTATCATATTGTTTTGCCCTATACCATAAGATTTTTATAAAGGTTATGTTTGGGGCCTTACAAATGAGCTTTATATGAATTACCAAACTGGTTTCTATAATAATTTTACATATAATCCATGAATCTCAAAATCATGACTTAAAATCAAATAATGATGATAAAACTCTCACAACTATCTATTTATATTTATCTTCATGTGTATGTATGATACATGTCATAAAATATATGCATGATTTCAAGAATGCATAGCATTTGAGTCAGGAGAGAGAGATTACCATTTGTAAAAGTAAGGAAGATGTGATTTTGGTAAGGTTTGTAGGAGTGTAAGGGATTGGAGAGTGTCTGTTTCTTAAACTAATCATGTTGGCTTATGTATGACCTTTTATCATAAAAATTCAAAACTGAATAGTCTCACATAAGGAAAATTATATCAAAATCATTTGAGTTCTTTTTTCCCTCCTCAGTGAAATTTATTTGTGGTATCATGAGACCATCTCATAGAAAGAATTTTGAACAAAATGTCAGTTGTCTTTTCTTTTTTCATTTTCAGTTCAAAAGGACATAGTCCGGATTCTCCCCAGTTTAGATGTTGAAGTCAAAGATATTACCGACTCTTATGATGCTAACTGGTTTCTTCAGTTGCTGTCCACAGAAGATCTTTTTGAAATGACCAGCAAAGAGTTTCCTATAGTAGCAGAAGTCATCGAAGTATCTCAAGGGGTCCAACTGCCCCGAAGTATTTTACAGCCTGGGAAAACCATTGTGATCCACAAAAGGTGTCAGGCTTCAAGAATCCTAGCTTCAGAAATTCGAAGCAATTTCCCCAAAAGACACTTCTTGATCCCTAGTAGCTACAAAGGCAAGTTCAAAAGGAGACCCCGTGAGTTCCTAACAGTCTATGACCTGCAGATATCTAAGACTGAGAAGGAAACTCTGCACGTGGTGGCCACCAAAGCCTTCCACACGCTTCACAAGGAGCTGTCCTCTGTGTCTGTTGGGGACCAGTTTCTAGTGCATCATTCAGAGACAACAGAGGTGATCTTTGAGGGAACAAGAAAAGTGAATGTTCTGGCCTGTGAAAAAATCATCAATAAGTCCTACGAGGCAGTCCGGCTCCCTCTGTACATGGAAGGAGGTTTTGTCGAGGTGATTCATGATAAGAAACAGTACCAGATTTCAGAGCTCTGTACACAGTTCCGCTGGCCCTTCAATGTGAAGGTATCCGTGAGAGACCTCTTCATTAAAGATGACATTTTGGCAGCTACCCCAGGACTGCAGTTAGAGGAGAATATCACAGACTCCTACCTACTTGTTAGTGACTTTGCCAATCCCGGGGAATGTTGGGAAATTCCTATGGGCCGATTGAATATGACTGTTCAGCTAGTTAGTAGTAGTAATCTGTCTGTAGATCCAGGGACAATTCAAGTCAGGACTCTGGTAGAAGAGATAACAGAAGAACAATATTACATGATGAGGAGGTATGAAAGTTCTCTTTCACATCCCCCACCTCGCCCTCCCAAACATCCCTCAGCAGGGGAAACGAAGTTAACCTTGCTCAGTTTAGCAGAAGAAAGAACAAGGTATCTGCCCAAATCTCCCAAGGTAAGACTATGATTTCACAAATTTCCTCTTCGCAAGACAGTAAGTTTCGAGTTGCTTCGGAGTTTGCCTTTGGCTTGCTTTCCTTTCTTCCGCATCGATTTGAAACACGCCTGCTTGATGCGTGCTGTATGAATGAACATCAACAGAGGAGAAAGCTGTTGCAGCATTTTGTACTTGGATGCTTCACCAGTAGATGTGGTGTGAAATCTGCACTGAGTTAGAAGTAGACATGATGGCATTTGGCTGTGACTACACAAATTGCCATTTCAATGGGCTTTGACAATTGAACATGTTTAATAAGATACCTCAGAAGAAGTTCCCATTTACTTTGGAAATGTGGTTCATTTTTCTTAGGTAGAATTCTCTTAATACTTCACCCAGAAAATGAGCAGACAATAAACTCCCATCTTCTCAGGGAGCCTGTGGGAGTAGGAGGTTACTGGTAACATGCATCTCTAACACATGTCTTCATTTTGTTTTATGTGCAGAAAGATGTAAAAATATCCTGGCAGAACAGTGTGTGTGAGAATTTGAGCATCTGCCCACATAATGCCTCTTAGAACTGTGTAATCTTTAACAGTTCTACTGCAAAATAAAATTAATAAACCTACAGGCACCATAGGATCTCTATGGAATTACCAAATCCACAACCTCGCCAGATGTTAGGTGGTAGTTCAGCATCATTTCCACTTGATGCCATTGATTCTTAAATACTGCCTGCTGGCTACTGGAACTGAGCTTGCCCTCGCCCAGGATGTATACGTGTGTTTGTGTGTGTGTGTGTGTGTGTGTGTGTGTGTGTGTGTGTGGTTCTATGGTGTATGGAAGGAGTGTGTTCTGTCCCAGCAGATGCTGGACTAGATGCACAAGGAAAACAAAACAATTAGAAAAGAGATAATTCCTGTTTACCCTCACATTCAGAAATGGTAGTAGCACTGGGCACCAAGACTCATCTATGGATGTGGATGCCCCTGCAGTTGTTATTTCTAAGACTGTTCTGATTGTATGCTAAAGGAAACCTGAAGGATCACTAAACTCATTTCCTAGAAAGAAAAAAAAAAGATAAAACTAGCAAAAATTTCCTTTCTAGAAAAATAATTTTTAAAAATTGACAAAGCAAAACAGTTCTCAAATAACATTAATTAGCTAAAGTGAAGAGGGGTTTTCTTTGATTCTTGTACAAAAATGTGCTTTCTCGATGAGTTGAATGAGACTATCACTGGTGGTCAGGGTGTAGGCCTACTGTTCCCAGGCTCTTGGCATGAAACAATAACCTCACACATATTTGCAAGAGTAGCAAGGAAAGAACATTCAAAGCAAAGCCACAGAACAGATAAAAAATTACAATATTAGAAGTAATGGTGGACCACGTGAGTGAAGACATTCAAGGGCCCCATTATTGTTTGAGGCTTTTATTTATTGATTGTCAACTTGTCATACCTGGGAAGAAGGACAATTGATAGAATGCCTCCGCCTTATTGACCATGGGAACATCTGTGAAGCATGCCTGTGGTTACTAGGGACATAGTTTGGATGTTTGTCCATTTTTATTGACAAGCTTACATGAACTTTGCTTACTGTGCACATCCCTTCCCAGCATGCATCTGACTTTAATTATATATTAAGAAACTGAATAGAAATTTGCTAACAGATTACTAGGTGCATTGTTCATAGATGTGTGTGTGTGTTTGTGAGTGTGTAATATGTGTGGATTAAAGGTCTCAGGCTGCCAAATGCCTGATGTCTCTGACAGATGTGTACACACCTCAAGCCAAGTGGAGTTCCAAGTGACTAAGCTATCCTTATTCTTGTCTGCTTCAAAGTGAGAAATAGATGTTTTCCTCTTTTTTTAATGGCGGGAAAAATAACACCCATTCAAAAATGTGCACACCTAACTTCCCAGAACCTACTAGGATATAACATGGAATGGCAAAAGGACTTTTTACATATAATTAAAATCCAGGACCTCGTGGTAAGATTATCCAAGTATTCACATAGGTTTAACTTAATCACTGAAATCCTCACAAGGAATATCTCCAGTGGAAGACACCATTACAGAGATGTAGTTAAAGAAGAATGTCCAAAGAGACAGTGTTCCTGTTTTCAAAGAGAGAGGGAGTCAGGCATGAAGTGATGATGCTTCTCCAAACAGGGTCTTCCCTACGTGGTCTAGAACAAACAACTTAACTGGCAATACATCAGTTTAGTTCAATCAGATCTGGGTTGGACCTCTAATTTTCTGAACTCTAAGATAATAAAATTGTTATTTAAAACAATACATTTATAGTAACATTATAGCAAGAAAAAATGATTCAAAGTTGTTTAGGAATTAATAAAAGCCTTAAATAGCTAAGTCTCTGTAAATGAGCTAGGACATATTTCATTGGGAAAATGAATGTTTGTGTTTGACAGTTATGCTGTATAACTCAGGCTATAGGCTAGCCTCAATCTCATGATCTTCTTGCCTCTGCCTCCTAAATAGCTAAGAGATTTATACCACAAATAACCTATCTTTGACACTAATAACCCGCCTTTTCTTTCCCTCCTCCCTCTTCCTTTCCTTCCCTTTCTATCTCTTCCCCAAATATCCCCTTCTTTCCTCCTTCCACCTCCCTCTTCCTTCCTCTCTCTTTCCCACCCTGTCATAGTTAGCTTAGGTTGTCATGTTGATATCCTCAGTTGATGGAATGCCGCTATCTGATTGGTCTATGGGCATGTCTGTGGGGCATTTTCTTAACTGCTAATTGATATAGGAGAATTTGACCTACTGTGGGTAGTGGCATTTCTAGGCAGGTGATCCAGTGCTATATAAGAAAGGTAGCTCAACAAGAGAAGGGGAACTAAGTCTGTAAACAGCATTGCTCCATGGTCTCTGATATCGTTCTTGTCTCACAATTCCTGCCTTGAACTCCAGTCTTGAGCTTTTGCCTTGGTTTCTCTTGATTATGGCCTATAGCCTGTACCAAATAACACCTGTCAATTGCTTTTGATCAGTGTTTATCACAGTAACAGAGAAGCAAACCAGAACACCCCCTTTTTGGCTTTCCCCTTTTTCTTTCTGCCTTTAAAAGTGAGTTTTATTGGATCATGTGCCCATGGACAACCTGAGGTCACAGCTAGAATTTAGAACCAGGGATCTTAGATATTGAGAAGAGCTAGAACAATGTTTACTTTTCTTTCTATATTTGGTTTACTATTTCGAGCTAGTTTTGTTTGCAGGTATCACAAGACTTCTAAGAGTCCCTACATCATGCATCTCAGCTTCAATACTAGAAAAGAATGCTGTCTCATTATCTAGACTGAATTCAAAAAGAGAAAAGACTTAGATTATACTACGTACCTCTGTCCTGACTCAACCAACTCACTGGTTGCCTCAACTACAGGCCAAATTGATGAATGTTTTACTTGTAAACCCATAGAGTAGACACCTTACAAAGAACAAAAGTATATTGTTCTTAGAATTCTGGAGGATGGGAAGTGCATCATCAAGTTGCTGGTGAGTTTGTTCTCCAGGTCCAAGATGGAGTCTTGTTGCTGCTTACCCCAGAAAGGTGGAGCACCACTTTCTCATATACCAGAAATTCTGAAAAGAAGGAAACTCATCCCTCAAGACTTTTAAAAATAAAGTTATTATGTATACTTTTGCATGGTCTGATCTCACAGCCAAAGCTCTTTCAATCCATCCAATCTCCTGCTACTACTATTGCATTGGTGTGAAGTTACTAACATGAGTTTTGAAAGCGACAAAAAACATCTAAACAAACCAAAGCAATGAATAAGAATATCAGATATGGACACCTCAAAAACAAGAGGAAAAAAAGTTAGGTGATATAAAATAACAGATATCTACTGCCTTCCCCAAATAAAAGATTTAAAAGTACAAAACTAAGAAAACATTCATAGATAAAAGTAGATTAAAATTTTTTAAACTATCTTTTATCTAAAGGCATAAAATGACTTAGGTGTTTTATTAAGAGAAAAATACATAACAATATTATATCTTATGTACTGAAATGACTAAATTAATATATGCTGATTTCTTGATCTACACAGTAATTTGCTATTCTCTGTCCAGATCCCACTTGAGTGTATGGTGTTGAAACCTGAGTCCCACTATTAACAACAATGGCTTCGAGAGTTGTCAAGATATTATGTGGTCTGGAACTATTTTTATTTGAGGAACAAAAACTGAGTGATGGCTTAAACCTGAAAGACTTGACACTAGGTGATATTAGTTATGGAATACATTTAAAGAGCTGTTGAAAACCTGGATAGATGACACACACCTGTCATCGTAGCACTTGGGAGGTAGAAACAGGAGGGTTGGGAGACCTAGGCCAGGCTAGATTATACAAGGAAACCCCTCCCCAAAACCAAAACAAAACAGAAAGCAGGTAACTGTTCTGTGTCAAGGAGTGCAGACTCAGTTCTTCTAATATCGCCAACTTGGGTCGAGTTGAAGGACGGGCCTATTTGACGCAATAGTGTTATCACAGACTGCATATGACAAAAAAAAAAAAAAGATTAGCGCTAAAAACAGGGATTGTGAGTCAAGAGTGGTGTTCGTAGGCTCCTCGCCAGATCATTGAGAAGAATTCACAATTTCTTGTTTCAATTAGTTCCACATTTCTCATGTGACTGAAAAACAAAGCACTATTATTTTCTCTGGAATCTCTTAAAAACATCACTGACATTACCATTTGCCCATGTTCAGTCATACTGGCCTCCTCATGGTCAAAAATTTTCACCCACCATGAAGACTGGGATTTGGTCAGAGGATCGTTGATGGAACATAGCACAGCAGATCTGTAAGTTTCTGTGTAATGTACAAAGCCAATGGTTTCTTATTACCCCAATGTCACTCCTCCATGTCTTTTGTATTCCATGGGATAACTGTATTAATGCTTTTCTCTCATGTATACTTTTGTAATAATTGGTTTTAAGATTTTTTTTAATGTTTAACATTAGGCAGCAGTCATTTAAAACAAGCCTTTAAGTCT